GAGTACACACCTTTTCTGAAAGGAAAAACATATTTTTGTAGCTCATATTTTATATCAATGAATCCTACAGTACCGAGGTTGTATTCCCTTCCCAAGCTCCATAAGAAAGATATTCCCATTCGTCCTATAACAGTTTTTAATTCTTCACCTACCGCTAAAATTTCAAAATTTTTATTAAATATTTTTAAATTGACTTTACACCAAATTTTACAGTAAAAAATTCTTTAGAATTTATAAATAAAACTAAAACGCTTAATTTTTATAACAAAATTTTAATTTCCTTTGACATTACTAATCTCTACTCTAACGTTCCAATTGATTTAACTCTGGAATTAACTTCAAACATGTTTAAGGATTTTTTTGATAATAGCATAACAATAGACCATTGTAATATATTACTGAAACATCTGATTACACAAAATTTCTGCACTTTTAATAATGAATTTTTTCATATATCAGATGGACTTCCAATGGGAATGCCACTATCAGGTCTTCTAGCCGATATTTTCTTAGATCATATAGAAAATAATTATATTGTTAATAATTTCAATCCTTTTAAAAACAATATCCACTCCTGGATTCGTTATGTAGATGATATTTTTTGTGTTTGGGAGGGGGATATAGCTTCGGCTAATGATTTCTTGACTTTTTTGAATAATATACATCCTAAACTTAACTTCACAACAGAATTTGAAAATAACAATTCTTTAAATTTCCTAGACTTACCTTTAACTCGTTCATTTAATAAATTGGATTATAACATTTACAGAAAACCAACGGTTATTCCTACAACTATACCTACAACTATACTCCTACAACTATACTATAACCGTTTGATTCAACACATCCCATGTCTCAAAAACTTTCAAATTTTAGATTTTTAATTAATCGTATTTTTAATTATCCTTTAACAGACAACGACAGAACAAAAGAAATCAACTATATATATTCTTTAGCTTTAAATAATAATTTTCCTACTAAAATAATTAACAACCTTTTTTATAAGATTCAACGTCAATATGATCCTTTATATGTTAAAATATCCACTAANTGAATTTTTTCATATATCAGATGGACTTCCAATGGGAATGCCACTATCAGGTCTTCTAGCCGATATTTTCTTAGATCATATAGAAAATAATTATATTGTTAATAATTTCAATCCTTTTAAAAACAATAACCACTCCTGGATTCGTTATGTAGATGATATTTTTTGTGTTTGGGAGGGGGATGTAGCTTCGGCTAATGATTTCTTGACCTTTTTGAATAATATACATCCTAAACTTAACTTCACAACAGAATTTGAAAATAACAATTCTTTAAATTTCCTAGACTTACCTTTAACTCGTTCATTTAATAAATTGGATTATAACATTTACAGAAAACCAACGGTTATTCCTACAACTATACCTACAACTATACTCCTACAACTATACTATAACCGTTTGATTCAACACATCCCATGTCTCAAAAACTTTCAAATTTTAGATTTTTAATTAATCGTATTTTTAATTATCCTTTAACAGACAACGACAGAACAAAAGAAATCAACTATATATATTCTTTAGCTTTAAATAATAATTTTCCTACTAAAATAATTAACAACCTTTTTTATAAGATTCAACGTCAACATTATATAACAACAACTTTATATGTTAAAATATCCACTAATACAATTTATAAACCTATAGCGTTTAACCATTTTTCTTTATTATCCAAAAAAATTTTTAATAAGTTTAACATTTCATTAGCTTTTTCAAATAACAATTCCATTCTTAAACTTTTATCCAATTACCATTACAAAGATTTTAATCATCTGAAGGAAAGTGGGGTTTACTCTATCAGTTGCTCTAATTGTAATGGTATTTACATTGGTCAAACAGGGAGAAAGTTGGAAACTCGTATTAATGAGCACAAATATAAAATGCAATCCAACGTTTACAAGCACAAAATTGAGACAGCACATAAAATTGATTATGATAACACATCTTTGATTCACAAATGTCAGAAGGGTTTTAAATTAGATCTTTTGGAATTGCTGGAGATTCATAAACTAAATATAAACAATAATTATATAATTTTAAATGACCAAATTCAAAATCTTTATAAACCTTTATTTACATACTTAAATCTAAAATAATGTTTCTATTTATAATTATATTCTATTTTTGGGGCTCTTTTTATTTTCTATATTTCTGTTTCACTTTTTCTTTTTACCTTTCTCTCTTTTCTTTTCAATGTGATTTTCAAGTTTGTCCTCAATTTTACTCTCTTCACGTCTCGATAAATATCAACGTGTATTTTTGATTTTCTTTAGCAAGGTATGTCTTTGTTATTTAATGATTATTTACCTATGTTTAATTGTTATTAAATGATTATTTACCTATGTTTAATTATTTTTTATTTTATTTTCCTCTGTATCTATTTTCGCTTGTTTTATAATTTTGTTTTTTCTTCTTTTTTAGTTTTTAAAAAAACGTGTCTTTTTACTGTCGCCATTTTGTTATACAGTTTTATCACCGCTTTATAAAGCCTTCAGCCTTATACAAGCTTTTACATGTTCCCCCTGTTCTTTTGATGATCTTCGTTCTACAATTTTAGTCTACCACTGACAGTGAGTAATTTTTATAGATTTTTTATTTTTTTAACATGTTTTAATGTGTAAAATGTTTCATTTTTTTTTTGCTAATGTTTGTCATATCCTTTTTTTATATATTTTTATAAGTCTAACTTCGATTTTTTCCATATTTGATAATTTCGCTAATAGTTTTAAATTATTGTCTGATAAATTTATTTGGTGTTAATTATATAAGAAATTTTTTAACATTGTTTTCTCCGTTTGTATTTAGTTGTCACTGATGATGGGGCTAGCCCCGAAACCGGTCTGACTGCATATTAAATTAAATTAAATAAAGCAAGTTTAGAAGTCTTTTCGTTATATTCTTTTTATAAAAGATTGTTGGAGGTGACATTATATCAAATATTATTTTTTACAGAAATTCTGATTTCGCCAAATTCATATTCTTCAATACGGTTTGGAATTCAGAGAATGCCATCACTTTCTTTTAATATAGTATTAATTAAATCTAATTATCCTTTTTTATTTTTCTCACTTTGTGACATTAGAGAAATTTTCTGTAACAATCATTAGAACGCAATGAAAATAATAGTTTATTTTCCCATAAAATAATACAATATTTTTAATATAAAAACATTTAAACAGCTTGAATATTCCTCTTACGAAATGTTGACGGTATTCCACTAACGCTTCTGTAAAATATTTCCGCCACTAATTGCACGTCGTGTTCGGCAGGTAAAACTTCAAATTCTCTAATAATTTTTGTAAGAATCAATTTCATTGCAGCATACGCAATCGGTTTTCCTGGACACGATTTCACTCCGTAACCAAATCCAATAAACGATTTCTGAGCTTGAGCTGTAACGTTCTCTTTCATAAATCTTTCAGGCTTAAAAGTAAGAGGATCGTCGTAATTTTTCTCTGACGTCATAATCCCCGTTAAATGGAACATTACTTGTATTCCTTTCGGAATTTTCGTACCATCTAAAGAAAAACCGGAATTTAACAAAAGAAATTTTAAAGTAGAATGAATTTTACCTATAACCATATCTCTTAATACTAATCTATCTAAAAATGGCAACGACATGAATCTTCTAACAGCTTCTTTAACGGTTGAATGCAAATACGGCATATTGTTTAAATGATCTATATTTATTTCTGCGTTTATGTCTGTACCTATTACTTCTTTAATTTCTTCGTATATTTTATTTTGAATTTCTGGTCGTTTTGCCATTTCTCGTAAAGCCATACTTATGGGGAGGATACTAGTGTCGTGACCCTTAACAAAAAAGAGTTAGATTTAAAAAATTAATTAAATAGTTTTANGGGGTGAATTTGACCCCGTTGGGCACCTCCAAAATTGATGAAATTTTAGGATGATTTAGAGGATGCCTTTAGCAATTGAAATCAACTATCCAAACACCGTAAGGTATAACGGTTTCAGAGAAATAATTGTTATTAGACACTATAGGTATACAGCGCGGCGCGGACTTTGGGGGTGAATTTGACCCTGTGGGGCACCTCCAAAATTGATGAAATTTTAGGATGATTTAGAGGATGCCTTTAGCGATTTAAATCGACCATCAAAACACCGACCATGGCTTCAGAGAAACAATTTTGTTATTAAATTGTACACGTATGTAGACCAGACAGTAGGTGCCTTTAGCGATTTTAATAGATTATGAAAACTGCGAAACTCTTAATATTTCATGGAAAAAATAAATTTCGTTACTGGCAAAGGGTAAGAACTCCGCCACGTGCAGTTACAAAAGGCGCAGGTATTAAG